GTTTGTCCCCGGCCCTGGTTGGTCGTGTGGGTGGCAGCCACTCGATGTGTCTCGATGTGTTCCTTTCACATCGATGTTTCTCACTCTCTCTCTCTCTGTTCCTCTCTCTCTCCCTCCCACTCTACCTGAACAAAAAATTAAAAAATATCCTCCGGTGAGGATAAAAAAAAAAATAAAAAAATAAAAAAAAATAATGATACATCGGGTTACACTCAAAGAATACAGTGAACATGAATGAACGCATAATGCTTTTAACAAATCATTGAGTGAGTGAGTGAGTGAGTGAGTGGATGGATAGAACACATTTGCCTGTAATATATGTAGATACTTCCCCCTCCGGGAGGTGCAGATTAATTCCCTTTACCTTAAGGGTGGGCTGGGCTATGGTGACCGGAACAGAGTACAGAAAGGGGAAATTAGGGACTTGACAGTGAAGAAATTTGGCAGATGTGACCCTAACCGACAGCACTCGTGGGAAGTCATGTTGAGCTTAGATTGGGCATCCCCGATGGGAGGTGATGAAAAGGTTACCGCAGTGTTGTGGTATTTTCCCTAAACAATAGTAATGCCAGTCTAGTCCCCAAACACTTCAGATCCACCCGGGCTGAGGAAGATTCTTCAAAATGTCTGACTGGTGCCCTTCTGAAATGTCCAGGTTAGGAATATCGGGGAGAGCCTGACAAATGTCCCGATCGGTGAATGCCGGGCGAGGTTCTCGATTGGCCCCTGGAGTAGAAAAATAACAAAGACAGACGCCTGTGAAGATGAGGAAATAGGAAGCAGCCTGGATTGCACTGAATGGCATTGTAGCGAAGTTCACGTCTTAGATTTGACCACTGTACCAGGTTGTGGAAAATGCTGACGGTAGAGGAAGTTGGGTGAAGGGCATATGGAAACGCTCTGTTCTATTTTGGTCACTTTACACTAAAATTATTATTTTAAAGTAAAAGGTTGATCACAACAAAAACTGCAAAAAAAAAAAAAGCTTGTTTAGGAAAGTGGACATCCAAATGATAGTATGTGTTTATTAAAATTTTGATTAGGGCCCTGGCCGGTTTGGCTCAGCGGTTGGAACATCGGCCTGCGGTACAGAGAGACCCAGGTTCGGTTCCCGCTAAGGGCACGTACCTCGGTTGCAGTTTGTCCCCGGCCCTGGTTGGTCGTGAGGGTGGCAGCCACTCGATGTGTCCCTTCACATCGATGTTTCTCTCTACCTCTCTTCCTCTCTCTCCCTCCCGCTCTATCTGAACAAAAAATGGAAAAATGTCTTCGGGTGAGGATAAAAAAAAAAAAAAAAAAAAAAAAAATTTTGATTAGGGAAAATATATAGTCGATGACAAAGATGTTCAGTAACAAACACCAAATGTGAAACAATGTAGATTGTGACCCCTGTGTGCATGTATGTGCATACACATTCTGTATGTGCAGAATAAAATGATCAGATACATATGTGGTCAGTGGCTACTTCAGGAAAATAGAATTACGTTCTTGTAGTTTACGATTTAAACCTTCCTGTTATTCTCAGATCTTCTACAAGAAAGTGAAACATGTATGAGAAAACAGTGGATCAAAAGTAATTCCTAAGTATTTATTTGTTTAATTTGGGGTGCTTATTCAAATACATATTTTATTTTTCAAATATATAGGATAAATTACAGTTTCAAATTATATGTGTGTGTGTGTGTGAGTGTATTTATTCTTACTTTAGTACCTTGGTGCATGAAGCTCAATAAAACATATTAATCAGCTGTAACATACAGATTTCCTACATTATAAATATCTTATTACCTGAAATTCAAGCTATCATTATACAGTTTAAACATGACCAAATTAAATGGCAGTTTTCTCTCTCTCCTTCTTTGTTATCCATTTGCATAAACATGCATATATACACATATAGGTGCACATATAATGCATGGACTATTCCATAAATTAGATGGTAGATAAATAAATACATAAAATCTGGAAGGATACACACTCGTCTATTACCCTTCAACAATGGTGACTGCTCGTGTTTGGGAATGGCTTTCTATATTCCTGTAGTGTCTCATTTCTTGTTGATAGTAAACATGTATTATATTTATAGTAAAAAAAAAAATAGCAAATGTATTTTTAAAATTTAAAATCTTTAGCTGGTAAAAACTTCTCCAAAACATCATAACCAAATTCAGAAGTAGACTAAGTAACAACGAAATTAAAACAAAACAAAACCTCTCTAGCATGGCGATTTGATGCAGCGGGCACACTACCAGCTCTCTAGTTATTGTTAGAAGCAGAATTGTGGGTGCACTGTGATTTTGCATTCACTTTTTGACTAACCATTGTTGTTGCTCAGATTGCTTAAACAGTTCAGCCATACATATTTAATCACTGCATAGAAAACGTTAATTCTAGGGCATGCTAGGCAATCAGGGTAATGGGGGGGAGGGGGAGATGGCTTGTCCCCAAATTACCACAACATATTGTTAGATGTCAGATACAATTGTAATGTGCTTTCGTAGGAAAGAAAACTAAATTCTGGATGTTTCAGTACCCCAGGCTCTCTTAAAAGTGTATGGCATGTGTTTATATGTCCATATGTATCATAGGTTATAGCTAGGAACTTAGTAATTTCAGGGCCAACTCTAAGATCACAGCGACATGCCGATATTGTGCAAGTCTTGAACCCATTCAGGAAAGATCACTTCTGATTCCACAGTGTGAGAAAACTGAGTTGCAAAGCATTTGGTCAGTTTCTCAGCTCACCGCTGACCACTTCTAAAATGAAGCTTGTGCTTGAATAGAAACCCTTCATGTTTTCATTAATGTCTGAGGACTGTCTGAAGAAATAAACTATTCCCATCCTTTCCATCACTTTTTTCTTTGCCCTGGATGCAGGGAAGAAAGACAGCATTTGCATCAGTCACTATTCTCTACTTGAAACCGAATGAAGATTTTGATTTAGGAGAAGTTTATAAGAGGGGTAAATTCTTCCTCCTGTCTAAGCTCAGGGAGCATTAACTTCTTGAGCGATGGATGGGGAATGTGTTATGTCAATCTATATATATCGAAGGTGTATAGAACAATGATGTGTCTATTATTCACCTGTGACTGATATGAAAATGATAGCTGATTTACTTTCTAGAGTTCTGAACGCCTTCCTTCCTTCTGACTTTTCACATATGTGCTTTTCAAGACAAAAAGTAGTGTCTACCCACTACTGGATTATGAATTCAACCTGGTATCTGATCATCATATTTCACTGTTGCTCTCTTTTATTTCTCATCACAGATGATAAAGATATTTCACTTGGAATTCAGTTGGGAGAGTGTAGTTGATTAAGCTAAAGTCTAATTGGCTTTGCAGTGTTAGCAGAAACCAAAATTTAATGGCTGTATTTTCCCCCCATAGTAAAATAAACCCCTGTAATTCCCAGTCTTGGAGAACAGAATTCTCTTGATTAAGAAAGTCTTTTTATGGACAGTAAAGAACTGACTGTTAGAATTACAACTTAAACTTCAAAGTTAAATTTTTCTCTCTGAACTCTTTAGAATGCAAGAATTCTCTACACTAGATTTTAAAAAACATGGGTATTTGACATAATGGAATGAAGATTTTTTAAAGGATTCAAAATCTATCAATGATTTGAAGGAAGAACTTAGATTTAATTCTTTAAAAATTTTCGTAGTTAAATTCATTATATTTGTTTTTTAATTGTTATTGAATTCACTAGGGTTGAAATTCTACAGGTTTCAATTGTACAATTCCGTAAGATATCGTCTGTATATTGTGTCCGTGCCCACCGCCCAGAGTCATGTCCTTCCACCACCCTTACCCTAAACTCACAGGAAGTCGTGATTCTGAAGTAATTAGAGCGATCCAGTCTGCCTAGGTTCTCTGTGATTTCAAGGAAAAAGCCAACGAAATGGGTTTATTTCCTATCACCCTCGCCCAGTTCTCCATTCTGAAGGCAGGAAGCTCACATGAAATCCCAGACAGACATGAGGCCCAGGCTGTGCATGACGCATGACTGATTGTGGGGACTCAGCTTCTACTGTTACTCAAAGCTTGAGCCTTAGATTGGAAACCCACTCACCAACGGGGCATAATAAATGAGATCATCTCATTTCCATTTCTGGTATGAAGTCAGGAGCACTTATAAAACCAACCCCCACTGTCACCTTCTTTTAAGGATGGTGACAACATTGTTTGTACTTCTACAAAGTGGAGGTAATTTTGTCTCCAATGAAATTCCCTAAAAGCAAATTAGAACTTCTATAGTCATAGGAAAGACTAGATATTTGTTCTCTTAACTCATGTATGGCCAAGGCTGAGGACAGTAAAAAAAGATGAGCATCCCAATTCTCCATTCTAAAGGCACAGAGCAAACATGAAATTCCAGACAGACATGAGGCCCAGGAGCCACTGGTAAGAAGCTTCTTAAAGTTCAAATAGCTATAAACTCTGAGCACTACCATAAAGTTTACTGAAAATGCAGTCGGATATAAAACCCATCAGAACGTGAGCACACCATCCAAGCCTGACGCTCAAGGGCTTTCATTCTTCTGTCAACGAGAAGCTCGTTTGTGGATAAAATGCGTATTTAGAAATCATAAGCTTTCGCCTCCTTTACAAAGGGAGCCATTCAAATGTCATCATACTTCAGGGATTAAAGATTTGACTTATGTCAAGTCAACTCGAGACCCCCAAGTTAAAATTTGACAGATATCGATGGCATTTATGTGATCAAACATAATGACAGTGGGAGCAAGATTTTATGTTGACAGAGGTCTCTGTGACCCTTCTCTATGACCACTTCTCATGTTTCACATGGGACACACAGTAGATGAAAATGCCCAGGACGAGGTCCCAGGACTCCAGCTTCTCCGACTAAAGCACGTCTTTCTCGTTTTCCTTTTCTGCACAGGCACCGGTTGGAAACGGATGTATTTCACCCTGGATGACAACATGCAATCACTAAACTCCAGTGTGATTTTTCTTTTTTTTCCCTCTTATTTCAGGGGCTGACGTTATCAACTTTGACGGCCACGTTGTGTTACCGTACAGATTCAGAAACAAGAAAATGAAAACTCTGAAAGACGTCATCACCCTGAAGTTTAAGACCACGGAGAGCGAAGGGGTGCTCCTGCACGGGGAAGGTCAGCAGGGGGACTACATCACTCTGGAGCTGAGGAAGGCCAGGCTGGTCTTCAGTTTAAACCTAGGTGTGTTCGGACTCCCCGCTCCCTTCTTTCCGCTTACTAACATCCCCATTGCTGAAGTGCGAATGCTCCTGAACCCTTAAAGTATAAACTATAAAAATGTTCGCAGGGTGATCAGTTCACATTTAACCCATCATGGTCGGTGTGTGTTAATCTACTGATAGACCTATTCATTCAGAAAGTATTTATTGAACATCTGTATGGCGCACAGTGTGTGTTAACATCTGGGATGGGGATGAATTACAGAAGGACCTTGAGTTTATAAAGTGTATCCCCTAGGGGAGGAGTCAGACAGTGTATTACCTGTTATTATTTTAAAACAACTAAATCACACGACTTCAAATGATCAGTAGAGTTGACCTTTGAACAACCTCGGTGTTAGAGGTGCCACACCCTCCCTTCAGCTGCAGAAAATCCACGTATAGCTTTTGACTCTCCAGTTGGCTCTTTGCATCCCTGGATTTGAGCAACCGTGGATCGGAAATATTTTCCATCCGATGTTGGGAATCCACGGCTGGGAAGGCTAAAATGTGTTTTTGATCCATGGTTGGCTGAGTCCACAGATGCAGGGAAACAACTGCATTGATTAGATAAAACCTTCGGTCCTGCCGGCATGGCTCAGCAATTGAGCATTGACCCATGCACCAGGAGGTTGCAGGTTCGATTCCCAGTCAGGACACATGCCCACTGGGCTGGATCCCTAGTGGGGGGCATGCAGGAGGCAGCCAGTCAATGTTCTCTCTCATCGATGTTTCTATCTCTCTCTCCCTCTCACTTCCTCTCTCTCTAAAATCAATAAAGGAAAAAAACAAACAAACAAGAAAAACCTTCGTATAAGTGAACCCACACCATTCACCCTCACGTTGTTCGAGGGTCAACCATAACATGAAATCAATTCAGTGGGCTAATATAATACTGCAGAGGCCAGAGGGTCAACATTAGAACATGTACTGAGAAAAGTCCTTTGCAAGAAGATGTCCAAGCTGAGGCTGATGACAAAAACAAGCCATGGGAATATCAGGGAGAAGAGCATTTTAAAGGAGGCAGTCCCTGCAGACAGAGGCCTGGTCCACTCAAGGAACAGCAGGGGCGCCGGTGTGGACAGAGTGGTGGTTTAGTGGGCGAGAAGGTGAAATCCCACAGTCAGAGATTGTTCCAGTCCTGTAATATCGTATGGAGCATGGTAAAGTGGATGTGTGTGTGTGTGTGTGTGTGTGTGTGTGTGTAAGAATGGGAAGTTTACTGAGTCTTCTATAAAGAAAACGCTTCCATCACCCACCTGAGAGTCGAAGAGGGACTCCTCCTGGCGCAAGACGAGTAGACGCTGACTTGCAGAAGGTAACATCGGTGGGGGTGCAAGGGAACAGGTCCGCCGCAGAGGTGACATTAGTGCACTTCAGCATGATTTGTTGTGCATTGGGAGTTAAGGAAGAAAGGAAGAGAACAGATAAAAGATAATTCCTAGGGTATGGCTAAGGCTCCAATGGACGTGAGCGCCATTTCGGGAAACAGAGACAGCTCTGTTTTCTCCGTGGAGTTCTTCTAACGGAGGATTATTGGTTTCCCCTGCTAGAGGAACTGCAAAGGTCTCCTTGTTGCTGATTCGCCATCAAAGCTGAGATTTCTCTCAGGGAGTGGCATGCCCGAGAGGGACAGGGGTTGCTGATTGGAGGCTGGGAAGTGGACAGTGGGGAGGAGGAAGTAATAGGTGACATCACAGAGACGAGGGAACGGAAAGAGGTGATTCCAGTGTTGAATTCACCTAAAATGTCAGAAGACAGAAAAGGGAGGTTGCTGTTTAGCAAACTAGAGATTACCAGTGATTTATTCCTGGAATAATATGTATGTAATATGAGAAAAAAAAAAGTCTGGAAGGAAATAGACCACACTCTCTTCAGCCACCAAGTGATCACATTTTACACGTTAATTCTTCATGATGTTCTCCACTCTCACTATTGAACATGTATTTATATGTATTTATGTGTTAGCTGGAAGAAAATCAGCCTTAAATATATATATATTTTTTTATCCTCACCCGAGGACATTTTTCCATTTTTGTTCAGATAGAGCGGGAGGGAGAGAGAGGAAGACAGAGAGAGAGAGAGAGAAAGAGAGAGAGAGAAACATCGACGTGAAGGGACACATCGAGTGGCTGCCACCCGCACGACCAACCAGGGCCGGGGACAAACTGCAACCGAGGTACGTGCCCTTAGCGGGAACCGAACCCGGGTCTCTCTGTACCACAGACCGACGCTCCAACCGCTGAGCCAAACCGACTAGGGCCTGAAATAACTTTTGAAATGAGCTTCAGTAAGCGCTAAGAAGATAACGTACAAATGACATATCATAGAATCGTACATTGGAAACCTATATACTTGTATTAACCCAATACATTTAAAGGGGGGAAAAAATCGAAGTTAATAAGGAGGAATGGGGGAGAGACACCCAGGGAACAAAAAGTAAGTTATTTTTTCAACATACCTGCACACAAACGCACAGCTATTCGATTGTATGTTTTAAAGTTTAGTTTTCCAAACCTTTCTCTTAAAAGAAAGAAAGTGAAACGTACAGAGCCACTGCGCACAAAGGTGTGACATGGCATTCCAGTAACTGAGCACGTGACCTCACCAAAAATAAATAAATAAATAAATAAATAAATAAATAAATAAATAAATAAATAAAATGAATAAATCAGTACATTTCCCTGGAGAGCAGTTCGCGGAGGGACGTTTCTTGACCGACTGGTGTCCATGGCAGCTGCAGAGACACGGCCACTCTTGACGCCAGTGCCTAAGTATCAGGCACATCTAAAGACTTACACCAAACTGAGTGTAGACTTCGCCTCGACTTGTTCTTGTCTTCTCTCCTCCTCCCCCACATACATACACAATCATCATATTTGATTTCATCACCAAAAAGAAGAACATTTGATCTAGGAAATCCATCAAGGAAGGTCAGGTATACGCATCATTAGCCTCTTAAAGGTGGGAGGTGGAAAAAGGAAATAATTTAATTCTTCAGTCAGTCCTGTGTGTCTCTTATTTCTATTACAGTATTTATTCTGAAACATTATTCTGTTTTTATAGCATTTAGTTTTGTCTGCCCTTAAAAGCAACCTTTCGTTCAACAATATAGAAAATGGTATAAAATATATAAACAAACAAATAAAAACTATACATAAACAACACCCAGGGATGACCTTAGTGAAAATTTTCAATCCTCACAACATTTCCCCCTTACCTGTAGTCTTATTGCTATGGAGATCTTATTTCAGAACTAGATTAATGCACATATATATTTTTTGCAGGTTTCTGTTGTAAAGTGTAACCTGTGGAAATTTTCCACGCCATTAGATATTACTTGCCCATAAGATGATGGCATTTGGCGTCAGAGAGAATTGAGAATTGGCATGCCATATTTTCTTGACCAACAGTAACAGCACCAGCCTCAGTAATAACAGATGGTTAACAGGTACCATTTAACAGATGGTCACTATATGCCTGGACGTGTGCTCAGGTCCTTGCAGGCATCAAGTAATTGAATCTTCACAGCAGCCTTGTCAGGCAGGTACTATTCTTTCCCCGTTTTTACCTCCCAAGAAACACAGGCCCAGAGAAGTTGTCAGCTTGCGCAGCATCACAGAGCATCAGATTCGGGCCCTCGAGCTCCAGAGCTCATGGGACACGGACTTTCAAAAGGAATCTAACAATTTTTTAAAAACTCTCGCTATTTTTAAGGGAACAGACTTTCTTTCGTCTTTACTAACTTTCATGTACTTTGAACATAAGACTGTGTTTAAGCAGAGTCACACGGTGGCGTTCCTATCAATTCAGGAGGCGAAGGGTCGCCCACGGTGTTCTAATGGAAGGTCTCCCGTTACCCAGAGCTGCGGTGTCATCACCTGGTTCCCTTTCTGCTCTCCTGATGCAGGAAGCAACCAGCTGGGCCCCATATATGGCCACACGACGGTGCTGGCGGGCAGCCTGCTGGACGACCACCACTGGCACTCGGTGGTCATCGAGCGCCAGGGCCGGAGCCTGGACCTCACCCTGGACAGGAGCGCCGAGCACGTCCGCACCAACGGGGAGTTCGACTACCTGGACCTGGACTACGAGGTGAGCTGGAGGACAGGCCTCGTCTCTGCTTGTGGCGGTGTATCCTTGTGGGGGACGTGCCTCCCCTCGCCATTGCCTCGTGTCCTCCGGAGAAGGCTTACGTGTCACAGCAACACCTCATCTCTCAGCATGTCATTTCATTCTTTTCTTTTTATTTAATTAATTAATTTATTTTTGTTACAGATGTTTCTCCTTTTTCCCCCTCCCTCCCCGCCCTGTCCCCAGCTTTGTTGTTCATGTCCACTGTTCATACATACATGCATATAAGTTCTGTGGTTTATCTCTCCCCCACCACCCCCTCTTCTGGGGATTGTCAGTCTGAACCCCACTTCCACGTCTCTGGGACTACCCTGTTCCTCAGACTGTTATGTTCATTCTGTTCCACAAATAAGTGAGATCATATGATACTTGTTTTTCTCTGCTTGGCTTGTTTTGCTTAGGATAATAGTCTCCAGGTCCCTCCATATTGTCTCAAAGGATAAAAAGCAGTGGTACATATACACAATGGAGTACTATGCAGCTGTAAGAAAGAAAGATCTCTTAGCCTTGAAATGTTTTAAAAGCCTTGGTACCAAAGTAACAATTTGAAGAGAAGGAACTTGTGTCGTGTTAATAGGATCATTGAACAAGTCCTGAATAAATGTGGTTTATAGTCTTTCCATTGGTCATTATTTATGATACAAATGACACGTTTTGCTTGATAATATATAGTGCTATATACACAGAGTCGCCTAATACTGATTATAAAATAATTGGATAAGAAATCCTGAGTTCTGATTTATATTAAGCCATTTATAAATTCATGGTCTGTTAATAATTCTTTTGACAAGTTTTATTTTCTAAGATACAATTGTCACTAAAGAAATTAAAATATAGAATATTTTAAATAAATTTCCCATAAATAAAAGGATATTTTTTAACCTTCCAAATGATCAGAGATTTAAAAGGCAATGGTATTCATCCAGTAAAAAGTATATATTTTCATACTGGTAGGCATATCAAGTTTTTTAATAAATTATGTGAAGAGCAATTCAACTTTTAAAAGTCCAAAGACGGTAGTCAGATGCAGGAATGGGAGTTCTGTGAGGACATATTTGTCACAGCACAGTGTATGCTGAGAGAAAAGGGTGCTACCAAGTGAACAGCAGAACACAGCAGCAAAATGAACAGGGTGAAGTATTAGTCAGCCTGCGGTTCCCAAACTGGCTTGTTCATGGAACCCTTGGTGCCTCATTAAATTTCCACAGCTGCCCCGGACCCTTCTGTGGAGGTTAGAACCAAGCAACTTAATAAATGTTTATCCCCTAAGAACCCGGTACCCATTTGAAAAACAAAATATACATAAAATAGAAGAGAAAATTATGATTGTATTTTATTTAGTCTCACCATAAAAATGATTTACTAGTGGGCGTGTCCACCTACACGGACCAGCTTCTGCGACCTGGGAATCAGAGTGGACACGGCCATCCTCATTCCTTGCTCTGCTTTGCCTTTCGAGGGACACTGATTTTATCAGCGTCGTGACCAAAATCCCAACTTCACAAAGACAGGACTCCGCCCAGAGCAAGGCTGTTGGGACAGTGACCTGCCCCACACTAGTGTTTGATCAGTGTCCCAACGATGCCAAGTATTGGCGCTTCCTTTTAACTTTTCAGGTGTACTATGTCACCCCTACAAATCTGTCACCACACGGTGCCTTGGCCCCCAGTTTTAAAATGGCACATATATACATACACACATACATGTGTATTTTATACATATATATACATACATATTTATGTGTGTGTATAAAATTTTTAAGAATGTGGAATATACTCTCCATAAAGTAATAAGTGGAAAAGTCAGGATTTATAACTGCATTTTCTATTTTTTTGTATGTTTAAATACTTTCTAAATTTTCCGCACTCTGTGTATATTATACACATTTCTAAAAAAGAACTTAGACTATGCCATATAAACCCTGATATAAAGACATTATTAATATTAAGATAAATTCAAAGTAGTCAGGAAATAATTGCTTCTCCAAATTAATATATATATATATATCTGTAAAGAAAAAATGATTGTTAAAGAGAAATAATGAAAATCCCAGACATTTCTACCTTCTCTAAAGCAGTACAATCCTGGCTTATGTGACTTATCTCCCACTTTATGAGAGAACATGAAGATGAATTATTCATTCTCCATTAATAAACTGAAGCCCCACAGAAGAGAGAGAAACTCATGCAACATTAGCAATGGACAAATACAATTCCAGTTTTCAAAATACAGCCCTGAAATGGGGGTTCAGGGCCCCCGATGAGTCTGCGATGAAATCTGTGAATACCCATGCACACGGGGCCGGCGTCCGGTGGACACTCTGAAGCGGTCTGTGTGCGGCGCCGTGTCTGAGGACCTCGTCTGTGGTCTAAGACATCTGGGACATGTGTGTGGAGACACGAGGAAGAAATGTAAACTTACCGAGACAGAATCAGCGAGACTCAGCTTCCTTCTCTTTGCAGAGGTGTCTTCCTCTCCTCTCGGACACGCAGTCCCTGTCACGACCACACAAGGGTTTGGTCCACCTTTCTGTCTCCACACGCTCTTCTTGACATCAAGGGGGTCTCTGTGCTTGTTGATTGAAAGGAGACGAGGGCCTGGGTGGTCGGTCTAAGTGCCCCCTGGACTCATCCGTACAGTAAGTGGGCTCAGACCTCAAAGGGGCCTTTTACGAAAAACATAAGAAGTGGGTTAAGTAGCTGCCACTCAGGTACTTCCCAGGATTTAGGAGCTCAGTGCCAGGGGACAAAGACCAAATGACTTGTTACACCGTCCCAATACAGTATTTCCATCCTGTAGGCATAATAACTGTGACTTGCTTCAGGAGCATACGGGGTATAAAATGCAGAGCTGCGTTCTGAGTACTTATCATTTTTTGTCTCATGTAATCCATTTCACTTAAAGCGTATATGATTTAATTTTCACACGGGCTCGCTGTAGCCATCCTTCCCAGGGGCCGGCGAGAGCTCGGTTCGCACAGCGTTGCAGGGGTAACTCAGAGACCACCCATCACCTTGCCCAGAGATCCCCATCATGAAAGAAACAGTAGAAAACAAGTTGGCCCCTTTGACGTCCCTCATTGTGAGAGATTTTGGGAGGAGACAGGCCTCAGAGTGCCCCTCCCTCAGCTCTCTGGAGACCCTCGACACCACAGAGAAAGCCAGTCTCTGTTCGCTGTCAAGCTGCTGGCTGCAAGGTGACCTGGGGAAGATGCAGGGATACCCAGGTGCACCTGTCCTCCTCCTTCCTCTCTCAGCCAGTGAAGCCACAGGTCAGGACCCAGGGTGGGTGCGGCCTGGCTTCTCTCTCCTTCGCTGACTTCCACCATGCCCCCCCCCCCCCATGCGGGCAGCTACGCCCTGGCCTCGGGAACACACCTCTTTCTGGAAAGGAGAGGATGGCTCCCCCTTGTCTGGTGAAGTCTCTGGCTGGGATTTGGGGCAGAAGCAATTGCATGGGCTCAGCCTAGAGTGAAAAGCCAGGGTCTGAATTCCTTTCTGCCCTTCCCTGGATTGTGACAGTGGCCAAAGCATGTTGCCCAGGTATAAAATGAATATAATAGCGCATTTATGACAGGGTATGTGAGGGGGCCACAGCAAGCAATAGAAGTCACCACGGTTATCTGATACGATTAGCTAGATACATAGGACACACCTATGTGTTCTCTTCCATAGAAAAGGGGCCCCTAGGCAGGGAGCGCGGGGCTCACATGGCAGCATCACGGTCATCGAGACCCCCCCCTGCTGTCCTCTGCACTCCTTCCCCCACAGATCGCTCCACGACAGCTGCTCACATCCCAGGCTGCATTCCAGCCTCTGGGGGGACAGAGCGCGGGGAGGCGCCCCACCCCGTGTAAGTCTAGCTCCAGGGGTCCCGCACAGCCCTTGCACCTGAATCTCGTGAGACCGAAACTGGCTTCAGGGAGCTGGGTAAACGCCACATATCGTCTAGGGAGCAGTGTGTGGAGCTGAAAAGCATCTTTTTTTGTTTTCCCTGAAGCAAGTTGAGGGAAAGTACGCTTGCAGGTATCCAGTAGTCTGCCACACTTTATAAACCCTTGGTAGCCGGCCAGATGGCTACTGCCGTTATTTCTGAGACTCGAGGTTGTCGTGAAAGGCAGCAGCAGTAATCAGTCAATCTCTAAGTCACGTGGATATCACAATGAAGCTAACCACTGCAACAGTTCTGACTATCAGCGTCCTGACAGCATCGGAAAGGGTTCTGTGGTCCAGCCACTGTATTCTACTGATGAGAATATGTAACCAGAAAGAAGTCGTTAGTTACATTGTCATAGGATTTGTTACATTAGGCGTTGGGATGTGAACTCACATCTCGTCCACTGAGATGTGAGCAGTCCGGTACATTGAGCCTGGGATGCTTCAGCAGGCGTCTTCCCAAAGGGTGCGCAGGTGCCGAGGGTTTGCTGAACAGAGAAAAACAGGAGGAGTGTTTGAATCGTCCCCCCAAGGGAAAGGGAAAATCCGTAGATAAGCTCTGCTCACAGAGAAGGAATGAAACTACTTTCACACTAGGATTTACCTGTGTTATTCAAAACGTGATATTTTGTGGAGGATTTTAGCATCTGTGTTCATCGGGGATGGTGGCCTTATAATTTTATTTATTTTGTAGTGTCTTTATCTGTTTTTGTTTTTTTAATTAAGATGATGCTGGCCTTGTAAAATGAGCTTAGGGGGTCTCCCCTCCGCTTGAATTTTTTGGAATAGTTTGAGAAGGACAGGCCTTAGTTCTTCTATGAACGTTCAATAAAATCCATCCCTGATCACACTATTTCCTGAAATGAACAGCATTTCTGTCTTTGAATCCTGTAGTATTCCAAACCTTTACAATAAAGTGTCCTCTTTTGCTTAAGCTAAAAAAAAAAAAAAGATACTGCATAGCATTAAGCATAGAAGATTTTGTTGCTGTCAACTCGGGAAGAAATTAATGAAATAAGTTATGGATAGGAAATTCAACACTTCATTTAAGTATCATTAACTTTTACCTTTGTTATTAGGTACACTATATCTACCTAGTAAATTCAGTTAGATGCTACTTAAAAATAGTTTTTCCGTTATTTTATTTTGGTTAATCTCTATTTTTCCTCTTGTACTTTTCTAGTTTACATATTTTCAGTTTTCCTCTTTTCTTCCTAAATATAAACTTTATGATAAATGCTATACAGTTAGCCATTACATTTTATTAAGTGAGTTATTTCATTTTTCTATATTATCTCATAAACCATCATTAATTTGTGCTCTTTCCCCCCTAAGAGTAATTAGGTGTTTAAAATGCCATGATGCTAAATAATAGAACATAATTTTCTAATGGCCTTCTAGCAATTATTTTCCTTATGTATCCGATATGGAGTCTTGACTGTTTAAAACTGTCTTAACTATTGCTTGTGTTTTCAAAACTTGGTACGAAAAATCGATAAAGGTAACACTGCTTCTATCTCTCTCCCTCTCCCTTCCTCTCTCTCTCAAAAATTAATAAAGAAAAAAAATTAAATGATAACTAAAACACATATAATATCTAGTTTATCTATCTGGATATTACAGCTATGATTAGTAGATTCACTTACTACGAATCCACTATTAGCAGTAAATGTCATTATTGGCGATGCGTAAATATAATTTTGTATTATATGAAAATGATATTACAATACTGTACCTTGACCAAAGATATGTGGAAAAGCACATACTCTCTTTTTATAGGTGATAGTAGCTAGAGATTCACAGGAAGAAATATTGACCTTATGCTAGGAGTTAGAAGACCTATAATACCTGTACTTCTCAAGTTCTATCCCCCAAGTTCTAAGATGCTCCTTGTCAATGTAGTAATGAGATTTCACAAACTATTTTCTGTATTCACCATAAGTCTAATGAATTTTTTACCTGAATGGTCCCTATACTACAATATCCCTTGCTTTCGGCTGCAGTTTTATCAACTTATATTAGTGCTGGTTATCTCTTGATGACTAGAGGCATTTATCGATAGTATGTCTTTGAAGGATAAACATAAAAATTTATTTTTAAGATTACTTAACAAAATATGTTTGCTGTCTAAAATGTTTTAAAACCTTTCAAGATAATTTATAAAATGCCTTTCGGGTAGCAACAACGCAAGGGATTGTTATTTCCTCGTTCAAGTTATAATCTAATTGTCAGAATTAATGATACTATTATGTGCTTCAATAACAACACATTTATATGCAACAGCTTCTGGAGACAGAAAAATGTCTGTATATTTTGGTTGATGTAAAGATAACCACCCTTTCCTGTGTTAATAGTTTTGTCTCATTCGTTATGAATGTTATGTGTGTTTCGTCGAACACAGTGTGAATGTTTCTGTTATTTTTTCCCACAGATAACCTTTGGAGGCATACCCTTCTCTGGGAAGCCAACTTCCAGCAGCAGAAAGAATTTCAAAGGCTGCATGGAGGGCATCAACTACAACGGCGTCAACATAACCGACCTCGCGAGGAGGAAGAAGCTGGAGCCCTCCAACGTGGTAAGACCTCCTTCCCCCGAAATACTGGTGCAGAGGAAGAATCATAGACCTTTTGTTTCGTGTGGACTCTTGAAGCGTTTTCCCCCATGTCTGTGTGGGGCTCAACCATGGAAAACCGACTTTAAAGTTACTGAGTGTGTAGAACCTGGATGTACTCTGAGGTTCGAGACTGGTTTCTGAATGGAAGTAGCTGGAAACAGACGGTGCGTTTTACTCAGCGGGGTGCAGCATTTTAGCCTGAGTGTTTGTGGATCCGTGTTTCCAAAACCGGGTGTCCTGTACGGGCCTCTTCCCAGCAGGTGTGCAGCCCTCGACCGGTCAGCATTGGTTCCAAATGTCTCATCCTGTGGGATCCGGGAATTTTCCTATACTCACTCACATGTTTCCAAAGATAAAGTCATCCTACTATATATAAAAAAGATCCTTTTTTGTCAAGGCTCTGACCATGTCAAATGTGATGTAATCAAGCACAGATGGACTCACGGGAGAGGGACATCTGTGACGTAGGCAGTGCGAGTCGTTTTCAGGTTTATTTAGAGGAGGAGAGTGAAAATCAAAGAGCACCTGGCATAGCGGCTTCCCGTGGCATTTCTCAGGGTGACTAGAAGGTATCAGCTTAAACATCTGGGGTGTGTGTTCCCTGGGGTTCTGCAAGACAGGAGCTACTTCAACCCACAATGTTGTTTGGGAGAGTGTGGGGTTCCAGAGGCCCACACAGTTGAGAGCCCCTGCAAGTCAATGACATTGTGAATATTTGCTCTGTGCTGTAAAGAACCTCTGGTGGTCTGGCTGCCCCGTAGTTGAGCCTAGGGTTTTCATAAGGATCGGACAGATGGAAAACCCCTAATGGATAAACAGAGTTCAGGTTGGGTATAAGTGACTGTAAAACAATAATTAAGTCCAGCAGGTGTGTCTTAGTGGATTGAGCATCACCTCATGGACTGAGAGGTCCCAGTTTGATTCCCACTCAGGGCACATGCCTGGGTTGTGGGTTCAATGCTCATTATGGGGCGTGCAGGAGGCAACCGATCGATGTCTCTCACACTGATGTTTCTATCTTTCTCTCCCTTCCTCTGTCTCTAAAAATATGAATAAAAACATATTTAAAAAATAATTGAATGTAAATATTTTTAAATAATTTTTTTCTTAAAGTAATAATTTATACTAAGAATTAAAAATTCAGCTTTGATGATGTTAAATCACAAAGCATATTGACTGTAGAGAAAAGTAGTAATAGTTACATTTATAGGCAATGGGCCCTATGCTAGTAGTCATGTGATAGTTATGATAACAAGAGAGGTATTGTCATAACTATTCTGTAGATGAGAATACCGAGATTTAACCTGGAAAAATAACGTTCCAAGGTGACCGAGTGTGACTGGCAAACAAAGATTGTGGACTGACAATGTAGTCCACGCAGTGTTATTTATTGGTGCTACATTAATATATATTCGATTTTAAGCTTTGGGTGAAATGTTCCAAGATTCCTTTTGTTTTCTGCAAAATTGCTGCTTAAGATAGAAAGATACCAAGTCCAACTCATCATACTATTCTTTCTCTGATACGCACATTGAAGAAGAGGAAAAGTGTTGCTTTGGCCCAGACCTCCTGGTCGGTGCTGCGATGTGTCCATTAGGTACCAGACTACAGAGAATTTCACTCTGGAGACTCATTCCCAAATCAACTTGAGCTGCAAAGTAGATTATGGCTATAAGTGCTGTTTTAACTTCAGTAACACAGAATCTGGGTGAAGCATACATTTCCTATGATCATACCTGATAAAATAGAAGGAGCAGACTGAGAAGGAACTTTTAAACAAAACTATGAATACACAGTGAAGTTTTAGGCAGGGTGGAGACAAAATAGACGTGCACCAAGCTGCTTACAAAGGAAACATTTACGTGGGAAATCTTCTCAGAGAGAGCAGGTGCTGGTGGTTCAGGGGAAGCACCTCTGAGTCACCCGCACCCCTCCATCCACACACCCACCCCTCGCTGTCCACGGACTCCCCAGTCAGACCCATGACCCCGGAAGGACCTTTCATTTTGCCAGAGGCAATCCCCGCAACACAAGTATGCGGTCAGTCATAACATCTCCGTTATCATGGACAGGTCTTTTTATTGGTCAAAATAAGCATTTATACATAATCATCTCTGAAAGTACAGGGAAATTTCATTTGAATATTAATTCAGAGAGAGCCTGCCTTAGGTTTAGCGGTTTGTGTGCTGAGATGGAAGAACTATGTGTGTAGGGATAGATAATGGTGTTGGGTAAGAAAAAATAACTGAAGGACCAGGTAAAAATATCATCACATTATCTCCCTCAGAATATGATGATGGGATCAAAGAAGTTGGACACCAATGTAGATTTTTCAGATCTTTAAAAGGAAAAAGTTACTTAGCCTGGAATATAAAATTCAGTGTAGCCCAGTATAGAATTCAATGTAGCAAATCTGTGTGTACAAAACAGGGGAGTATGAGAGAGAAGTGGTTTTGTAAATTGTGTTTGTTTTAATTTTGTATATTCACGTCACTGTTTCCATAAGCATTAGTTCATTATGATTCAAGCACAGTTCATGGGAATTTAAATGAGAGTTTGAGTTGAATAACAAAATAATTTGAAATAATCGCAATTATGTTGACGCTAAATAGTTCATATTTATAAATGGGTATGGGTGTAAAACCCAAGATTATTTGCCCCATAATAGTTTAATAAATAGCAACCAAATGGCCACAGTGCCCACTGAGACGGACACAGCAGACACCTGAGCAGGACAAGAAGGCAGGGGCATCTCCTGCCGGGTGATGCCTGGTTAGTGAGGGGGAGGGGCGCAGCAGCTGCCCGCTGTCGTCAGAGAGCCCAGGCCCACACTGAAGCTCTCACACACACACAGCCCACCCCCTGGTCCGTCCATCACAGCCGCCTGTCAGTCTGTCCGTTTCATGATGGACTGTGCTTGTTACATCCAAACCTGATGGCCAACTGGTGCACTTGCTAGGGGCACACTCCAAGCAGGGGCGCGCCAAGGCATCCAAAGGCCAAACTCACACCGGTGCTGGTGCGTTTGGGACGGGCTCAAGCTGGGCTTTGAAACCTGTGGAGCAGTAGCTCTGCCTGCCGTGGGCCAGGGATGCCGCCTCCATCCGCACCCTCCTCAGCCCACGCCCTCTGTGTTTCAGGGCAACCTGAGCTTCTCCTGTGTGGAGCCCTACACGGTGCCCGTCTTCTTCAACGCCACCAGCTACCTGGAGGTGCCAGGGCGGCCCCACCAGGACCTGTTCGCGGTCAGCTTCCAGTTCCGGACCTGGAACCCCAACGGCCTCCTGCTCTTCAGCCACTTTGCGGATCACCTGGGCAACGTGGAGATAGACCTGACGGAAAGCAGAGTGGCCGTTCGCATCAACGTCACGCAGACCAAGATGAGCCAGATAGACATTTCCTCAGGTCAGTGACAGCTTGGCGTCCGCCCCTGGGACCGCTCCGCGAGTTCCGCAGAGGACGCGTGTGTGTCTCGTTGGTGTTACCCCTGCTGGTCATATTCGGATCCAGACATAGGAGATTCTTTTCTGGCTGCCCTGAGTCCTGGAATAAGGGAAACTCGGAACCTACCGAGAGGGGGAGGGGTGAGCCAGGAGAAGGGCTGGTGGGGACTGTCCTAGGGCACCGACATCGTCTGCTCCTTATAAATGCTGGTTCCTATGGAACAGAGAAATCGGTATTCCTGTAAGTGAATATTTTATGTTTAAAAACAAAGAATGCTTATTTCACTAGCCTATAATAGTATCTGGTATCTGGTGACGTCATGGACATTCAAATAGCCTTTACTATTAGCAATAGGATTATCATGATTTAATCATGGCTTCAAAGGTCTCTTCAGCTGCCTGAATCAAAACTTCAAAGTGGTTTGGCTAAATTCGTGCCAATTGCCAGGGGAAAAAGCAAACAAGGGTGAGTACGCGAGGTCTGTGTCAGCCGAGCAGGCTGAGTTTTAAACTTGACATGCTAGCGTTTTGATCAACCGAGGCTTAGGTGACAGTGGTGTTATCGGAACAGACTTGGCGACCCTGGAGTAGTCTTTGAGCAATTGCAGAGTGAGATGCTCTAAGCAAAGGAAACTTTGACCTGGTATGGGACCGAGAAGCAGGAAAATGTCCACACGGTGTCTCTAGATGTCCCTAGCAATTGTTCTGTTTATTTTGCAAAGGCCTCCTTAGAAGACAGAGAGAAAACTAAGAGTTCTGAGCACCTGGCACAGGTGTACAAAACACAGAGAGGAAGTTCATGACCAAGTGCTCCACTACATGACTCCTGGCTGTGAGTCCAAACCGTCGTGGTTCACTGGTGACACGGTGTGCGTGCCCCGAAACTGCGCCTCACACATCACCTCCTGGTGTCCATCTCCCCCCCCACACACCCTGTGCGGGCAGGTGTCTCACGTTCTGCACAGTGGCCCTTGGAACCGGAGTTCGCTACAGGAGATGTCTTGAGGAGGGAGATACATCTCTGTTGCAAACAGGCTTGTGTTTCGTGTGAGAGTGTATGGACTGCTATTGAAAAGAACCCAGGGAAGATGGGGTGACCATTGCGGTGACCATTGTGGTGACCATTGTGGAGAAGGCCTTTCTGAAATCCTAAGCTGGTGTCCACTACCTAGATGCTTACTTTTTCTGCTTTTGCTTTGTCGGTTTTGCTTTCTTCCCCTTGCATATTCAGAGTCAAAATGATTGATCAGCCACATGTTATCACTGCCTCCCACTGCACGTCCACCGGGGGAGATGCAGCAAATAGGAAATATCTGGAGCTATCGGAGTAACACGTAAAACAAATACACATATAAATATTTACCACACTTGGAAGGCTCGCTACATTCCGTCATGATTAATGATTGCTTTCCAATAAATAAACACATGAAAAAATGTAGCAAAACTTTCCTCCTGGAGACCTCTTATCCTGGAACCATGATCATGGGAAGAATAGGACCCTAAACATAGCGATCAGGAAACAGTTACTCATTTAATTTGGTCTAATTGAGGACTCCAAGATAATTCTCCTCTAATTTTAGCTGTGTTTATTAAAAAATAAATAAAGAATAAAGAAATCCAACAATTTAACAACTAATATACCTTAATAGATTTGCTTAAGTATGATAAAATTGGACTTTAGAAATGTCTGACCATTCAGCCAAGCATCCATGCAAATCAAGACAAACTGATATGAAATCTAAATATTTCTAGTCTCCCTCTTATATATTACAATGAAAATACCTTACTTAGTGTTTCAAGTATCTGCTGTTTTTTTCTCTACATGTAGTGAAAACTAATTCTCACCAGCTGTTACTGCTCAAGTCTGAGAAATGTTAGTAAGTAAATAGACACACATACATTTTTAAAAGTTGTGTTCTATACTGATTTAAATTATATTTATTAAAAAGTAAAGGAAAGAAAGAATAAGAGAATCCAGTATGTGACAACTATATTAATTCATCCCACAAATACATAAAGGGGACACAGAAGACAATTTCCATCTGTACTTTAATGCATTTTACAAATTCAATGAAATGTTTTAATCCTTACCCAAGGAATTTTTTCCATTGATTTTTTTTTTTTTTTTTTTTTTTAAGACAGAGTGGGAGGGAGCGAGAGAGAAACATCAGTGTGAGAGAGACATATCAACTGGTTGCCTCCAGCATGACCCCAACCAGGGCCAGGGATCGAGCCCACAGCCACAATACATGCCCTTGACTGGGAATCAAACTTGTGACTTTTTCATCCATGGACCAATGGTCTAACTTTGGAGCTAATCAGGCCAAATGTAAAAGCAATGTAGTCTAAATAGCAGCAATGAGTAAATAATTAATTTATAAAAATAAGTTAACTTCAGATGTGCTCTAGTAATTTTCTTTTCTTTCTTCCATTAAAAAACAAAAACAAAAAAAAAAAAAAAAAAACTCGCTACTAAATGATTTCATGACCTAAAAACAATTTGTGACCACATTTAGGAAAACATTAACCTATAGCTTTGCCTTCTCAATTCAAGTGTTGGAATTTTTGAAGTTCTGGTTGCCTGAGGGCATTTTCTTTATCACTTGATATTGGAAAACTGAATGTGTCTTCCAGGAATTAGTATGATATTATAACAGTAGTAAGAAAGTATCGCATGTGTATTGTTGCCTCATGTATAGTAAAACACACACAGAGAGAAAAAACAACAACAAAAACCTACCTACCACTTGACATAAGGGTTTTATTAAGGAATACCTCAATTTTGTGCCACCTCATCACAAACAGATGTTTAGAATAATACTCCAAAGTTGTGGTTTGCCCATTTTAATAAGGCCGTAAAATGGGTTTCAGCATTTATATAGTGGAAGGAAAGTTAATTCTATTGATAACTTCTCTCACCTATTGAAGAAGAAAATCCATTTTCATGCATGTAGACAAAGCCTCGCAGGAAAATCGCTCGGAGTCCGGCCAGCTCCAAGATCAGCTGTCTGCCGAGCTGGAGGACCCAGATGTCCTTGCTGGGGACTGGTGGCTGTGTCCTCGCCTGGCGGAAGGGGCTGGGGACCTCTGGGGAGTCTCCTTTGTAAGAATGACTAGTCCCCTTTGTGGGAGCTCCGCGCTCATGACCAGTACCCCCTGAGGGCCCCACTTCCTCATACCGTCACTCCGGGCGCTGTGACATCAGCACCGTTGACCCCTGAACACGTGGTTTAAACTGTGGAGGTCCACGGATATGTGGAATGGTATCCAGTAAATACGGTGAATGTATGTTCTCCTCCGAACAGATGTTTAAGTTACATTGTCTTTTCTCCAACTTACTTGATGGTGAGAATACAGCACAGACTATGTGCAGGTGAGAATACAGCACAGACTATGTGCAGGTGAGAATACAGCACAGACTATGTGCAGGTGAGAATACAGCACAGACTATGTGCAGGTGAGAATACAGCACAGACTATGTGCAGGAAAGGTGTTCATGGAACGTTTACATCCTCAGTAAGGACTCCGGTCAACAGGAGGCTATTGATAGTTAAGTCTTCCGAGGAATCAAAAGTTACACGTGTGCCCTGGCCAGACTGGCTCAGTGGTTAGAGCCTCGGTCAGCCCATGGACTGAAGGGTCTCGGGTTTGATTCCTGAGTTAAGGGCATGTACCTGGGTTGGGTCCTGGCCCCATTGGGGGTCGTGCAGGAGGCAGCCAATCCATGTGTCTCTCTCACATCAATGTTTCTCTCTCTCTCTCTTTCCCTCCCCCCCTACTTCCCTCCCACTCTAAAAATCACTAGAAAAATATCCTCAGGTGAGGGGAAAAAAGTTGTATGTGCATTTTTCACTGCATGGGGGATAGTTGAACAGGGCACCCTTATGTGGGGTACTATTATGTCGTGAGAAATCATGTCTCTCAACTAAAACATAATGCCATTGGAAAATGTAATATGTAAGCTATAATGTTTAAAAAAAAATGTATATAGAATAGAACCCCAATATTATTAAGTATATAGATAGTTAAAAATAGTTCAGAGTGGAATAAAATCTGAATAATACGAATGGTAATCATCCCTAGTAGTGGGTATCATTCCATGACTAACTTCTTAGTACGCTTTTCATAATACCAGAATTTATTACAATTAAAAACTTATTGCTGTTTAAAAAAACACAAAAAATGTGTACTAAAAAATAATGAAGGATGAAATGACATTCCTAAAAAGCATAATGCTTATCAATATTGTGGGTAGAAATTACATAGAGTAAGTTGTATCAATTTAAAAAAATTCGAGTTTCCTTAGTTAATTAGAAGCATTTATATAGTCGATTTTTTAAAAGTTTGTTCTTAAAAAAATGAGCTCCAGCATAATTTTCTTAATGCTATTTATATAACAAATGGGACATTTTATGTTCAGAGGCAGAAATTTGAGTTTGGGTGTTTGAGTTTTTATTTGAAAATATACGTACCTAATTTTGAACAAATTGTATGTGTTCCGTGTAACTTTAAACCCATTTTTCCCCAAGAATAGATAGAAAGATAGATGAGTAAATTCATGTCATAAAAGCATTTTCCCTTAAAACTGTTGCCTTATATTCTCTCTTCATGATGAAGCAACGAATACAAATCTCTATTTCCAAACAATCTTCATATACATCTAACCAAAAAAGCAGCCAGAAATTAGCCTTTAGACTCCCTGACTTCTGTTTTGTTTTGTTTTTTATCCTCACCCGAGGATATTTTTCCATTTTTTTGTACAGATAGAGTGGGAGGGAGAGAGAGGAAGGGAGAGAGAGAGAGAAACATCGACGTGAAGGGACACATCGAGTGGCTGCCACCCGCACGACCAACCAGGGCCGGGGACAAACTGCAACCGAGGTACGCGCCCTTAGCGGGAACCGAACCCGGGTCTCTCCGTACCGCAGGCGGACACTCTAACCGCTGAGCCAAACCGGCCAG